TTTTTTTGAACATCGTTGCATGAAACGCTGAGTTTCTACAGCGGTCTACGTCTCAACCGACGAAGGGACGGGAAGGTAAACTTCTAGTTCCATAGTCATCTTTGTGTTTGATTTTTTTTTAATTCACATGCTTGAGTGGGATTCCATGCTGGCTACGCCACATCGGATGAACCTCAATGCCTGACACCGACTACGTCGTGTCAGCATGCACGTGAACAGAACATTTATCTTTTAGTAGAGATCGTAGCAAGCCGCCATGTAGATTGAAAGTTCTGAAACGGACTTTAGCTCTCCATAATTCAACAAATGAATAGCTGCGAATACAGTGGATCAATTCGAGGGACACTCCTTTGCGCGTAGCCAACAAAGTTGGCTATGCGTGGGGGGTGCGAATAGAGTGTAAGCTACGGACCAATGTACATTATCATGTAATTCACTCTAAGACTCGAAGCCAAAGGGTTGCTACAATGGCCCTTATGGCTCAAGACCCCACTGCAGCTCCAGAACAAAGATCTGCCATGCGGAAGCCGCGATCCTTGTGAAGCCGTCACCGAAGCTTTTACTTCAACCCCAAGTATCAGGACATAATCGGACATACAATCGCCGATTCGCAATCTATCTATCTATCTATCTATCTATCTATCTATCTATCTATCTATCTATCTATCTATCTATCTATCTATCTATCTATCTATCTATCTATCTATCTATCTATCTATCTATGCTATCTATGCTATCTAGCTGGCTAGCTAGTTATCTATCTATCCATCTTTGTATCTATCTATCTATCTATCTATCTACCTATCTACCTATCTACCTATCTACCTATCTACCTATCTACCTATCTATCTGTCTATCTATCTATCTATCTATCCGATCCGATCCGATCCGATCCGATCCGATCTGATCTGATCTGATCTATCTATCTATAGTTCAGTGTGTGTGTGAAACATCTGAATAGATGTAAAACTTCTACCTGATGATGTCGATTTCCTTTGACGAATGATTTCTTTGTTAGGTCTTTCGCTGGTGTTTTTGTAACTTACATGTCCGCTTTCCTTTCAACATCGAAAGCAGGGGCGTCAGGCCCATCATACCTACCTGACGCAACGAAACTATGGTATGATGGGGGAAGGGTGAACTGATCATTCACCTGTACCTGCAGATCTTGGCATGGATGTCGTGGACATAGCTTGCAAGATCAATTTGACAATCTCATTTATTTTCGCTGATGGCAACCGGCTAAGCCTAGAACCGGCATGACGTCATTTTCAATTTCTCTGCCATTTCTGCATTTTTCCGATGTCAATTTCAATTTCAATTTCTGCACTGTTGTCGCATTTCATGCCTACCTGGTTTGACAGCACCAAACAATTCAGACATATTCAGACAAATTTCTCCATTTCGGCAGGATCGAAGTAAATGGGGTCAATTAGTAAACCCTTACTGCCAGGATACTTAGCTTGTGTGCCGCTGTCATGTTTTCCGAACGGTAACACGGAAAGCATTGCGCGAGTCAAAAAAAAGAGGGAAGGGTCACCTTCCAACTTATTGCATCTAGCTTTGGCTAGCGATGGTAACCTTTCGATACTTCTCGGGTCATTTCACCGACCCATTCCTGTCAGGTGTAACTGGAGTGTTTTTGCGCGTGAGATGCGTTCCACATCAGAATTCGCAATGATTGTTCTGAGCAAGTGTGTGATTCATAGCTGGAAGCCACCCCAACATTTCCTTTTTCCAGTGATACTCGAGAGACAGATCCCATGTCATGCATGCTCCATGAGAGGAAAGGCACAGGCCATGCTTTCCAGGTGTGGTCTCTTTCTTTTGGTTACTCTGGTACGGTTCAAAGGTGCATGTAATTCGAGGGTTGACGATGTAAGCTGTCCATGGGGTTGACTTGATGACCGAGGGCCTTGAGCCTTATCACGACTTTTGCATGGATTGTGGATGCATCATGTTAAAACTGTTGCTTACTGTTTTTTTTCCAGCTTATACCTGACCCCACCTTCGTCGCCATGTTTTCATTTCGCCGGCCAAATAATTCTGAACCTATGTGGAATCCTGGCTGGCCATCGTCACCAATTACACCACATCAGGCTTTTAATCCTCAGGGCCAATTTTGTGGTGGAGGTCTGAACTACCAGCAGTCCCAAGCTCAGACTCAGGCCCAAATCAATGCGCTTCAACAACAGAATGCGCTGCTGAATCAACAGCTTCACAACCAATCCATGACTCATATCCATCATCTTCAACAATTGGTGCCACACCAGCAATCTCAGCCAACACCGTCCTTTTCGAATCCACCACTACGTCAACCATCAACGCCACCAGCACCGGTTCAACCAGAACCGCCAACAACCACGTTGACACCACCAAGTCAACCATCCATTGCACCATCCTTCAATCCTGAAGAGATGTTGAGTCAGATGAAGCAAGCCTTGAGAGCCGACCTGGTTGCTGCCGTGGAGAAAGCCAACTTAACGCTCCTCACTACTCTTTCATCCTGCCCCACCTTCCACCACAACCCCACCATCCGAGAGTCACAATCAACCGTCTAACAACCAACCTCCACACACGGCTCAATCCTCACGGCGCTCACGTACTCCACCTCGCGCTCGGTAACTTCACAGAAATGACAAGAGGCCCATCTCTGTTCCCAGAAGCCCAAGACGTCGTCACCGTTCTCATGATCCAAGTCGGAGACGTGAACAAAAGTTTCCATCATATCGTGGTCGAGGGAGCTCAGTTACGCTCTCGTCGGTGTCCCCTGACCGTCGAAATTACAGCTATGACTTCAACCAGGATGATCGCATTCATCACAGCCCCGCAGGACACTCATCTCGTCCTTATGAACCTTCGAACCTTGCAGCCTGGCGCCAGCAAGATGGGCCCTCACCCTACGACGACCATTCCCGCCACCACGACCACCACAGTGACCAATCCAAGTGGCAAAACTGGGACGCTGGGGGAAAATGGGGGAATCAGTCACCACCTTCCACCCACCCATCGTGGCATGACAAGCACGACCCCCATTCAAATTACACTTGGCGTGACCAGGATCACCATGATTCATACTCAACCCAGACTTGACGCGACTACCACCGAGATCCACCTCGACCTGCTGCTCGACTGTCAGCAGCACCACGTTCCAAATCCAAACCTCTTACGGCGTTCTCGTTCTCACACCATGGCCCCCCAGGGAAGCATACCAAAACTCCACACTCCTCCGGTCACCGTCCCAAACATGAACAGGACAACCGCTCCTTGTCAACCTCGGCAGTCCCCCCAGGTCACGTCCAGGTATCACTCAAAGATGATACCCGCAGGGACTGGATCAAAAAGTCCTTTTTGGCCTGAATCACAAACGCCGGTGCTAATTGGAGCCTTATATCGTGGCGCTGACAGTCATGTCAGCTATAAAGGTGGAGGTAACGAAATGGCTCAGCTGCAAGTCGCTCATTGCGGCATTGTCACAACGTCAGCTCTCTTGGAACAGCTTGGGGGTCTCTTGGCGGCTTCTGAAGGCTATGGTGGGCCATTTGGGGCCTATTTTGGGGCTATGTTGGGCAGCTTGGGGCTCTCTTGGGGCTCTCTTGGGGCTCTCTTGGGGCTCTCTTGGAACAGCTTGGGGGTCTCTTGGCGGCTTCTGAAGGCTATATCGAAACTTTCTTGGGGCTCTCTTGGGGCTCTCTTGGGGCTCTCTTGGAACAGCTTGGGGGTCTCTTGGGGCTCTCTTGGGGCTCTCTTGGAACAGCTTGGGGGTCTCTTGGCGGCTTCTGAAGGCTATGGTGGGCCATTTGGGGCCTATTTTGGGGCTATGTTGGGCAGCTTGGGGCTCTCTTGGGGCTCTCTTGGGGCTCTCTTGGAACAGCTTGGGGGTCTCTTGGCGGCTTCTGAAGGCTATATCGAAGCTTTCTTGGGGCTCTCTTGGGGCTCTCTTGGGGCTCTCTTGGAACAGCTTGGGGGTCTCAAGTACGCAATTGCCCACAGCCATCACGTGGGACTCAGCTTCTTTGCCTTAAAGTGGCCTAATTTGCCCATCGACGATGGAGATGATGATGCAACATCAGATGACGTCAACTACCGGGGCAAACGACGTCGATCACCGGCACCAACTGAGGCACCTCCTGATACAGCAGAGACTTCTGCACATGTAAAACCCTAATGTGACTAAGGAAACCGTGTTCAACGTTGTCAGCCAGAAACCGGCTGATCAGTTTCTAGGGAAACCTGGACAGGTATAACAGCAAAAAGACTGCTCGGCTGTCGCAATCTGATTTCTACCACTTGTGATGTTTGTTTGTTTTGTTCGTTTCTTGCCGCATTGATCCGAGTCACTTACCACGATGTTCATGTCCTATAAAAAATTGTGCATGTTGTTTTGCTTTTTTTGTTCCTGAACCAACCTTGCAACTTTCCCAGTTTTGCTAGTCTTTGACAATGATTGCTCGACTAAACATGGCTGACTGATCGTTCTGGATCGCCCGTGCCGATGCGCAATCGACTTGATCCACGTGGGCAAGCACCACCTCCATCTCTACCATTTTTTCCTCGATGGTGTGGACCTATGAGTGCTGCTGTCAGACACTTACAGAATATGCCACGACCTCAGAACCGACCATCTTGGTCAACTGCATGTGGACGCATGTGGAAGTAAATGTGGTCAATTAGTAAACCCTTACTGCCAGGATACTTAGCTTGTGTGCCGCTGTCATGTTTTCCGAACGGTAACACGGAAAGCATTGCGCGAGTCAAAAAAAAGAGGGAAGGGTCACCTTCCAACTTATTGCGTCTAGCTTTGGCTATGGCGATGGTAACGTTTCGATACTTCTCGAGTCATTTCACCGACGCATTCGTGAGATGCATTCCACATCAGAATTCGCAATGATTGTTCTGAGCAAGTGTGCGTTAAACTGTAAGCATGTGAGCACCACATTTTTCAGTGATATCCCCTACTCCCATAGCATTTCTGTAACAATTTCTGCCATGCCTTGGTCAGGAAAAGGCCGTGCGTATGCAGCTACCGGAGGTGGGATTACTTGGCCAGGGAGAGAGAGAGAGAGATATATATACATGTAATATTATAATATGATATAAGATAGCATGATAAAACTTAAAATCATACAATGACACTTATGTTTTTTTATTATAATACTAAACACACCCATATATATATATATACATGTACATATCCTTGTTTCAAGTCCATAAGATCTATTGAGCAGACGTGTCAGATGTGGGATTTCACCGGTGAATCCCTACGCGGGATGATCGTTCATGCTTCACATGTCATGATAGCCTCCTTTTTTTGGGATCCCAAGGTCCAAATAGATCCACCATGATACATACATACATATGTATATATATATATATATATGCACATATATTACTAAGTAATCCAAAGTTTTTGGGGATGTGAGAGAGAGAGATATATATTATAATATACTTATTACAAAGTAATCTTGGGAACGTGTGTCTTTGCAGGAGAAGGGATTTGTGATTAGTATTCAACATTTACAATCTCACCGTGGAATTCTTGGTCATGCCATTGTCCAAAGGGATACAAGACCCAATCTTGCCATTGGTGAGGTATTGTAAACCGCAAGCACTTGGGGTTATTCCTGAATCTCGCTAATTCGTCAACCGGGATTTACCAAACCAAAGGCAGCGACATGGGCATGGGTCAAAATTGGACACCCTGCCAATGGCGCGGACAATGATGACCAAAGACATACCAACATTCATACTTTGTAGCCTGTCAGCGGCCGCTTCTACAGCCTGCTCCAAATTGGCCCGATCCAGGGCATGGAACTGCACAAGAAACCCACCTTCACTCCCAAGCTCTTCAGTTCCCTGACCTCACCATGAATAGTAGTTTTTTTTTTTAAATCCGGGTGATTCAGAGTGAATGGGGAGAATCATCCCATTCATCCGATTCAAAATGGGAGATCCTCCATTGCCACGTTTGGGGGGTACACCAAATTTATGCGCAGAGAACCTATTCCCACACCCCCTCTGAGAGGGGACTAAGGTTGGCTATTCCGGGGGTCCCACATCCAAGTTGCTGTGCCCCAAAGCCACAGGGTCCATGCTCTGGAAGACATGGGGGTCGCTGAAATCTTAGTGTTGGAACATCATGATGGTTAGGAATCCAGGTGCCGAGCATCATCATTTTCCACAAACCCATCCCCTTGAGGTTCCCCGCGGGTGGTTTGGTTTCCACTATATTAAGGATGCAGATCCCGAAGGCTGCTGATTAGATCAACTCAAAGTTCAGAACCATGGTCAAGATTGGGGCTATATGGCTTCAATTGGAGCCAGCAATCCCTTATTTTTTGGTCTGCGTGCATCCGTGACTTTTGATGCCGGTGGAACAATTGTTCTATCATTCTACTGTCGATGTTTACCCAGTGACGGTTGAATGTACTTTTTTTTTTGAGGGGGGTTGATCCCATCATTTACTAACTAGCATTGAATGACACCGCAGAAATATTGGTTTTATTGGGTTAATATGGTTTAGATATGTTTAGATTTATTCATGTTAAACCAAATTTATTTGGGTGAATGCAACCTAAGGAGATGTGACTAATTAAGCAATTAACTCAATTAACCATTCTCATAAAGGGCAGAGATCCTGCCATGAGGGGTCGGAAGACAACTTTCTAACGTTGGGAGTCGGGAAAAGCTGTTTTCAGCATCTATGTTACGGTAGTTGGGTGGATGGTAATTCGATTCGTTTCTGTTGTTCTCTTGCAGGTTATCCATTGGTCTGGTGGTTGATACGTGCTGATACTTCCGCGAAAACCAATTTGTTTGAGAAGTACCCAGACATTTACATCAGGTCATTGAGTTTTCTTTGATACTTCCATGAATTGGTGGTAAAACTTCCCTTTCCCCCCACAGGAAGCTTAGTTTAGTCTTCAACAGTGGGCATTTTTCAGAGCCCCCACTACAGAGATGATCTGAAGTCGCTGAGGTTCCCTGACCCAAGCGGATATGAAGCTCAAGGCAGGCGCTGCAGACGTGGATGCCGAAACCGCTAAGGTGCGAGCCGATTTCGTGCTGCGGGCGGGGCAACCGAAAAAAGAATCTGCGCAAAAAGCTAAAAAAGGAGCATCCAATTCAAGAATGGGTGATCAAGTTTGACTCTTCGATACTCTTTGTGCCTCAGTACGATACTGTATGTACAATATACATTTTGCCTACAATTTTGTTTCGATTTCTAGTTATTTTAGCTTATATACTTATTATGGGTAGATTGAATCTACAGAGTGTGTATGAATGAATGCTGCATATATATATATATACACACGCAAAGGCACTAATATCATATCTCAAACATGCTGGTGCAAAATTATGCAATCAACAGGACAGTGATTCCTCGACTAGAATGGGGAGATCACCAAGCAACAGAACCGAATTAAAAGCAACCCATGGTAGATGATCTTAGATAGTGTACCAAACCGGCCCCTCTTTTTTTTCCCAAGGACCGTATTGATTAATATCAATAGGTCCAATAGATCAGGATTGAACTGCAGCCTTGCCACCCTCCAACCTGAGGCCAAAAAAGATGCCCTGTCTGAACGGACCAAAAGCATCCACTCAGAGAGGCCCATTGTGGTTTGATGTTCCGGAAAGGGGCAAAACTACGCTGAAGATGGGTGGAAAAAGGCTGCAAACCTGCTGAAAACTCGGATTCGTTTTTTTTGAGGATGGGAAAGGTGAAGAGATGTGAAGAGATGTGAAGATGAAAGATCTGCACGGCTTTCCGATGCATGGCTTTCGGAATCTCGAAAGCCGACAGTTGGCCATTGCCTGGCCAGGGGTCGTCTTTGGCGCATCGTGCATTCGCCCTTCTTTGACCTTTTCTTTGCCACTGGGCGATCTGGGCGTAAGTTGGATCCATCCTTTTGGCAGTGCCACTCCACATCGCTACCGTGTCAATACCATTTTTTCCCTTTCCTACCCTCATTTGGTCTTGTCCTACCCCAAGCAATGCATCCACTTATCATCCACTTTCTAGGCTTCAAATTCTGACTTCTCTTTTCCCCGCAGAATTTGTATTTGCAAACTCTCCAATCGGCAAAGTCGGTCAAGTTGGAAACGGGGGCTTATCCCTACCTCAAGGGTGAGACGCCCATCCCATGGAGATTTCTCACACTCGCTTCATAAGTTGATCCCTTATGTATCCTTATGTAAGATTATGCAAGCTTTATCTGATTGTGATATGATTTTGCTGGCTGTGTGGTGAAGCCAATGCCATAAAGCTACCTGTGGATGGCAAACCTATCACATTTTGAGATATTTTGAGATATTTTGAGGAGTTAGCTCTTTACTGGGTGTGTTTTGGGCACAACGACATCTCCAAAAATGGGACCCCGGAGCCGCCCTAGCCATGGCCTTCCAGGCCATGGCTATCTTGGTGAACACGGCAGCTGGGTTCAAAGACATCAACTGGCTGGCTGGATGAATCGATGTCTACGGCATGTCTACGTCAGTTTATTGCGGAACAAAACAGGGGCACAGGACTTCACATCTTTTGCCATGGGGATACTAACCAGCTCAAAAATGGCTATAAGTTGCCAGTTTTCGAAACGTCCCATTCTGAATCATGGTTTAATGGGAGGATCATCTATGAATGGATGCGGAGGCCTACATTTTTCCGCAGGTCTTTATCGGTGTGGAGGTCCAGATCTCCGTCGATAGCAGCCAACAAGAAAGCCTTGTGATTCAGGCTGGGGTGGGCTGGAGATTGGCTCTGCGATTGCCACCTCTTGCCCCACCCAGATGTCCACCAGACACCCTGTGCAGGTGGTGCGGAATGTCTTCACAGGCCTTTTCACCCTTGAACTTTTTCTAAGGACAGGGTGTGGGTGCCTTCAACTGTTCGTTGAGTATCTTACAGGGTACCTTTCTGCTGGTCAGATTTTGTAGTGTTCAACCATTTTTGGGATGATGATCCCCTGATAACTTTGTTCAAGTTTTTGGGATGGGTTGCTCACGCATGTTTTGGGGTAGAACACCACAGTATATGCACAGCGTCAATATGTAACGACTAACATTGATGATATTAAATACGATAATTGGTGGTTTTAAATGGAGGGCAATTTATTTAGGGATTTTTTTTTTAGTTTAGGGATTTTTTTTTAGATTTCTTCCTGCTTACTCTATTGCCTCCTGCAGTGCTTCTCTGCTTCTTTGCTTCTATTCCTTTTTTTGTTTTTTTTGCTTTTCTTTGCTTTTTTGCTTTTTTGCTTCCCTTGCTTTTCTTTGCTTTTTTGCTTTTTTCGCTTTTCTGCTTTTCTTTGCTTTTTTGCTTTTCTTGCTTTTCTTTGCTTTTTTGCTTTTTTGCTTTCCTTGCTTTTCTTTGCTTTTTTGCTTTTCTCGCTTTTCTGCTTTTCTTTGCTTTTTTGCTTTTCTTGCTTTTCTTTGCTTTTTTGCTTTTTGCTTTTCTTTGCTTTTTTGCTTTTCCATGAGGTGTGGAGCAACATCTTCTATCCATCTATATCCATCTATATCTATCTATATCTATCTATATCTACGTATCTATATCTATCTATGTCTATCTATATCTGTATCTATATCTACATCTATGGCTGTATCTATATATCTATATACCTATATATATATATATCATATATCTATATAATTATCTATATATCTATATATCTATATATATATATCTATATATATATATCTCTATATATATATATATCTATATATCTACATATATCTCTATATATCTCTATATATATCTATATATTTCTATATATCTCTATATGTATCTATATCTAGATATCTATATACATATCTATCTATCTATCTATCTATCTATCTATCTATCTATCTATCTATCTATCTATCTATCTATCTATCTATCTATCTATCTATCTATCTATCTATCTATATATCTATATCTCTCTCTATATATATACTATATATCTATATATCTATATATATATCTCTATATATCTATATCTCTCTCTCTCTATATATATATATTATATACCACCATATATCTATATATCTGTATATATCTATCTATATTTCTATATGTATATATACATATATCTTTATATCTATATATCTTTAAATATATATATATATCTATTTATCTATATATCTATATCTATATATATATATATATATATATATATATATCTACCTAAAAGGTTTGCATTATCATGCGGATGATATTCAAACCCCAAGCCAACCCTGAACCAAACCTTATATAAATAGATCTTAAACCAACTCGATGATAACATCAAATGAAACTATTGTGCATCGTTGTGCCTTAACCTACATTCCACATGTTTCCAAGGTGCATGTCGTGTAGTATATACACCTTGAGTATCACATTCAACCTAGCACCTTGCATGTGAAAATAGGTGTTTCCAATCTGCTTTGGGGGGGAGGCGCTGCGCCGTCCCCCCCAATCCCCCCCTCCCGCTTTTTTTTATTTAAATTCAAGCTTGCACACATTTCAATACACTACTTTGGTTAGAATATATATATATATACATTGTATATATATATATATTGTATATATATATATTGTATATATATATATATATATATATTGTATATATATATATATATATATATATATTGTATATATATATATATATATGTATATATATATATATTGTATATATATATATTGTATATATATATATATTGTATATATATATATATTGTATATATATAACAACACTAACAACACTAACAACACTAACACTAGCAACACTAACAACACTAACAACACTAACGGTAACAACAACAACAACACCAACAACAACACCACCAACACCAACACCAACAACAGTAACAGTAACAACAAACAACTGTTGGAATGTCAGCCTTCAGCTCCAAAATCCTGCAAGTACTGTGAGGAATGTAGCTGTAAAATGTTGCACATACGGTGGAAATGCAGATTCCAGCTCAAAAATGCTGCAAAGAGCATGGAAAATGGACAGAACATGCTGCAAACTGTTGCAAATACCGTGGAGAATACAATGGAAAATGAGAGGTTCGAACTCAAAACCGTTGCACATACCGTGGAAATGGCAGTTTCCAGCTCCAAAATGCTGCAAATAGCATGGGGAATGGTGAGAACCGGAAATCCAAAAAAAAATCACCAAACTAAAAAAAAAAAAATCCCCAAACAATTTCCTACCCGTTTTAAATTGCGGTTTGGATTTTGGGCCTATAAGGAGGCGTCGCGGTATGGAACAGGCAAACATAGGGGGCATGATCGAAGCCACCCATCACTGCTCGTTGCCTTCAAATGTGTTTTGGTTTCCTCTCCTTATCTAAGATCCAATATCCCCAGTTCATATTTGGGATGGGTTGAAACTAGTTATTCACATATAGTGTGCATGCGTTTTTTGGACCCGTTGTTTCTGTGGCACGCTTGGGTCTAGGTTTGGGTGTCGAAAGCACTGTGCCGGCCGAGCGATCACCGCTTCTAAGCGGGTTTCGATTTCCCTTCACATCTCACTTGTGGAATCATTTGCCTTCTTGGGGGGTTATTTGTTTTGGGCAATTTCTTCCTGTGGGTCTTGGTTGCCCAAGCTGTTTGGGAAGATTTTTCGACTTTTTGGTGGTGTTTTTATCATCTCCTTTTCCTGGTGCTTCTACGTAGAGGCAACTCCTGCGAGAAAGCCTTGGTGCCACCCGCACCCAAATTGCACATATCTCTTGTGTCTCTACCCATTGTGGCGCCACCAGGTTGGATAAAAGCACACGCACTGGTGGAAAACATATATAATATATATCATTACATATCTATAAACGTGTTTCAAACGAAGCTCACACAAAATCCGGAACCTGGCCTTGTGGTTTCGCCATTGGAACAGGGGCCCAGCACCATGAAATGTAAAGCATTTGCCGTGGCCAAAATGGATCCCTTCTTTCCTCTCACTTACTGCCTGTGCATTGTTCCCAAGGAACCCATGATTTTCAGGACTTTTCAGGGAAACTGGTATCATCAACCAGCCAGTTGCTTCACCAAGATCTTCCGGCCAGTTCTGCAGGATGTGCGCTGCTGGACTTTGTGGCTTCTTTTGTTCGGAGGAGTGGCGTACCCTGGCAGCACTCGCGAATTGGCGGGGGCCAATTCGCAGCGTGGGTTTGTTCCTTGTGTTCCGCTTACGAAATGGTGATCAAGCATGGCAATGGAGAAACCCAGAGTTATATGCATTCAAAAATCGGATTGATTGTGGTGTCTTACCTTGCATGGGAAGATCATTTGTAGATGAGCTGAAATGGATGATTTCCGATGTCAGACTAGCCTGCCAGAGGAATTTTAAAGCAGGAAGTGGAAGCTGTTCATATTCAAATAACCATTCACAGCTTTTCTGGGCTGTCTTTAAAGATTCCACAGCTTTGTAGGTTGGAAACTGGGTCAATAGCGGGGCATTGGGCTGTTGACCTGGTGTTTTGGTTTTTCACCGGAGACATACATTTTCCATATCGATCCTTATCGCTTCCTGTTTCATGTTTTTAAATGTTTGTCAGGACTGGAATGAGTGTCGCCACCTCAAAATCGGATGTCCACCGTCTTTGGGCCCATCAAAACCTGGATTCTTCATGATTCTTCCCCAGGCTGGAACATGTTAGACCTCTTCATCGTGCAACTTGGCTGTTCTTAGGGTTTCAATCCAAATGGGACGTCGTTGGCCGAGCCCAACCTGGGTTCTGGATGGAACTTAACTCGGAAACAGGGCTGTTTAACCTGCACGGCTGGGTTATATAAGATATATAAACTATCTATACCTGTATCATTCTCTATCTATATCATTCTATATCTATATTTAAATCTCTATCTAATATCGATATCTTTGTCTTTTTAAACATCTCAATCTACATGAAAATCTATATCTATATCTATATCCCTCTATATGCACATGCATACATACATACACATACATATGCGTGCGGTATCCAAGAGCTCTGAGAGCTCCGAGGCTGAGCTCCTGGTGGGTTGCTTGGAGGCAACCCAATGGAGGTTTAGAGGTGGGAAAGCCGTCGCAGCAAATGGGGTCCAGTGATTACCAGAAGGTCAACATGCTATACTAAACAACACAAACCACACTTGTCCGTTCTTCAAATTTACCAGATAGTGCCCGGCACGCACCATGGCCGAAGTTTCGAAAATAGGAAATGACTATAGGAAGAAGAAAGCCTAAAGGAATTCTTTGTGAAAGGCTGAAGAACGAATGAATGAACGAATCAATGACTGACTGGCTAACTGTTATATTAACTGACTGAATGACTGGCTGACTGAATGAATGAATGAATGAATGAATGAATGGACCTTTCCTGATTTATAAAGACAAGCTTTTCCTAATTGATAAAGCAGCAACAGCAAAGTGCGTGCCAAAAATGAGCTACTCCTTTCTCAGCTGAGCTTGAACTTTGAAGCTGTCACCATCATAATTTGATGTCACTGCTTTCCTCATTGGCGCCGTCCAGAGAGACTCACGTCGCAAGATGTACACATCGAACGGAATCTGTCTCAATTCAACCGACTTCAACCTTTTCCACTCGACTCTATCTGTCTATTTGTCTGCCTATCCTATCTTACCTTATCTTGTCTTATCTTATCTGATCTTGTCTTATCTTATCTTGTCTTGTCCTACCCTATCTTTCCTATCTATCTATATTTTCTATCTATATTATCTTTCTATATTATATATAATAATATATGTATATATAATTATATTTATAGTATCTATCTAGATTGTCTGTTATTATCCTCCTATACTCTATATTATTGTAATCTACCTATATTACCTATCTACCTATATTACCTATCTACCTATATTACCTATCTATCGGTCTATCCATTGATGGATCTATCTATCTATACATATGATCAATCTCTTTATCCATCCATCTATGTATGTCTGCTCTACCCATCTCTATGTGTCCATCTATTGATTGATCTATCCGTCTAGCTATCTTTCTATCCATTACTGTAATCTATCTATCTCAAGCCGGGACGGAAGTCCAACCGCACAGCTTCTCTCCAGCATTTATACTCTTCGCAGAAACCCTGCTCTTCCTTCTTCTCACGGCTCCTCGACAACCGAGAACGTAACCAACTCGCTATTATATATTCACACCACCGTTGCAATCTAGATACTGAACTCCAGCGACACTCCCGCACAGAAGCAGCGTTATCATTCCCACACAATATGTACCAATACGTCTACTGTAGCAGCCCCAAACTGCAATCCAGTATATCACAAGAGTGACGCTATGGTCAAGAACTACCTTTTGCGCAGCTGTTACAATGCGTTTAGCAACCTTCAGCTGCAATCCCGCTTGCCGGGAGCATCGCACAGCACTAAAGGCTTTGCTGCGCGCAGCCGTGCCAATGTGTTTCGTCACAGCCGGTTGCAAACCCGCATAGCAGGAACGTCACACCCAATCGACCATAATCGACCAACGTTCGCATAGCGCTGTGACAATGGGGACGATTCCGCGCTAATGTCAACCCTGGATTAATAAACCCCTAGGCTGTTTAATTGGGAGGGTACAATTTAAGTATCAGATTATGACTATTGGGGGAGTACCCCCCTGATTAATAAACCAATGTTTATTAATCCGGGGTTGACATTACTCCAAGACTGGCGTTTTTTTTTCCCTCTCCTCCCACCTAAAACGATTATGAAAGCGGGCCTCGCTGCAGTCTGGTGTGCATTTTGCCGACCCTCATCTTCCAAAAGTGCTCCGCGGCTGTCAGTTTTTAACGTGTTGAAGTGCACATCGAGCTCTCGCTACAGTCCTGTGCACTTTTTGCCAGCAGCTTGCCCAGATCGAGCCGCGCACCCACGGAAACAGAGATACTTTGGCGACGCCAGGAGCCACAACACCCGAAAAAACAAAGGGGTTCGTGCACGAGAGTGTTTTCACCTGTGTATGCACGCGCTCCTCAAGTGTTCTTCTTCCCCATTGCTCCCGCACGCGAACTGCTGTGTCTTTGACATGATGAGAAGACTGCCCCTGGACATTCGTCCGTAACTGGGCAGTTTTCGAACTAAACTTCCTTTAGCCATATTGCAGCAGATCAGCGCTTCCATGCAGACCTTCACATTTTCTGTCAGCCTGGCTCAGCTTTCCAAGGAAACCGCAGTGGAGCTCCTCTATGCGAGCAGTGATGAGGGTGCCTGGACCTTTTTTTGTCGCCGTTCAGCCTGCGACGTTTTTGGTTCTGCATGCTAAGATGTATGAAGGAAAAATGGCAAGATGCACAACGGAATCTGATGGCGATGGAGAAAGAGAGAGAGAGAGAGAGAGGGCACGGAAACTGATAGTTTCTTTTCATAGGGGGGTTCTTCACTGTTGCTGTCCTTCATTTCCACGGCGGGTGTCATTCTTACCCAGAAACGCATGAACGCCTGAAACAATTGCAAAATCAAAAACGCCAGATACGTGAAGCAAGAAAGGCGTGGAACAGTAACAGGACCTCTAATATGTATAAATATGTATACTTATACACATGCATATATATATACATACAATATATATATATATACATACACAATATATATATATGTATATATATATATATGTAAAGGTTTGGTCCTGACCCCATATTTTACCTTGCCTTTTACCGGTGGTGACATTTTGAATTCCAAATCAATGTCCTTTTTGTTGGACTACACCGTCTTTTTGCTTGATTTAAATCCCCATCTTGGATCGCCCCACCTAATATTCATTAAAACATGCACTGAACTCGCAGTTACCCTATTCAGAATGTAGGCTTGGACAAATCAGTTTTAATGAGTTCTGTACGCAGATGACACGCTCCTGATTTCCCGAAACACATTTGGCATGAACTTGTTGCTTCATGCCATAGAAGACGAATCAGCTTACTACGGACTAAAACTCAACCACGACAAATGTCACGTTTTGGCAATGAACGGTCACAACTGTATTCGTTTTAAAGATGGATCTCGCATGAAGCACGTAGAAGAAGCCGTTTACTTGGGCGGAATTTTGACCAAACATGTTAACATTGCGTCAGAAGTGTCCAACAGAATTGCATCAGCTATGGCTGCATCAGCTATGGCGGCTTGGAAGAGTTTAGATTTTTTTTTTGGAAAGAAGTACAATGCAGTACCAGAAACAAAATTCTTCTTTATAATGCAGTCATTCAATCAAAACTTCTCTATGCCTTGGAAACAATTGAGATTCCAGTGGCTCTCCTTTCACGATTAGAATCTTTTCAGCTGAAAGGTTTGCGAAAGATTCTAGGCATGACTACGACCTACATCAATCGTGCAAACACAAATGAGGAGGTTTTCAGAAGAGCAAACTTGCACATTGCAGCGAACCATCATGGAACCAAAATTGAACCAATTCAGGACATTTTGGCCCATCGTCGCATCGCACTTGCAGCGAAAGTTTTGAGACAAGACAATGACAGCCCTATGAGAATGGTCAGTTTCAAAAAAGATACCGCCGCACCTGTTGAGGTATTGTTTCGACGGGTCGGCAGACCCAGGAAGCAATGGACGCAAAACACCTTGACTATGATATGGCGTAAGATTCGTGATGACCAAAGTGATTTCAACAACTCCAACGCACAACTTGCTCAAATACTGCAAGCAGCTATCAACAAAGAAATCTAGCAACATTTCCTACCAGGCTGTATCCTGGACATCGTAACTAAGTCGAACTAATCTATACCAATCTATAGTTCTACTTCAAGGAGTTCCTGTACTGAGGGGCAACGATGCTGCGGGGAGCCTACGGGTATGGCACCTGCCTTTCTAAGTTAGTTTCACATCCGTTTTCACAAACCATACCTATGGCACGCAAGAAGAAGAAGACGAAGAAAAAGCGTTCTACCACCTAATTTGGCACAAATCCGCACTTTTGCATGTAGATGCTGGCTTGAGCCCACAATTTTCGGAGTGAAACCATGAGTCTCCATGAAGAGGTTTCTTACATTCGAGACATGGACCCCGTGCAACAAAGTATCAAAAATTGCATGCTATGTGTCTTTTCTTTGCATCCCAGAATTGGCTGGGACAACCTACAGGCACCCCCTATAACTACCCTCTGCTCCTCTGACTCTAACTCACCAAATGTAATGTACTACCTTGACCCAGGTGGGTTCTGGATAGGCTAGGTTTTTTCAAGAGTTATATTGAGAGATTTTGAGTTATAAAGAGTTTTAAAATGAGAAAACATGGGAAAACATGGGAAAACATGAGAAAAAATGAGAAAAAGTGAGATTTTGAGAAATTTTGAGGAATTTTGAGGAAAAAAGTTTTTAATAAGGAAACCTAACCAAAGAAGATCACGTCACCCACAAGTTTGTTTTCATTTTCAAATCAAAAAAACATGTTTATTTCAGTATTTGTTTTTTTCAGATAGATCCTTTTCAGGATGTGTCTTTCCAGATTATTTCCTTTTCAGGAGGTGTCTTTTCAGACTATATCCTTTTCAAGCCTTGTCTTGTTATACTATATCCTTTTCAACATGTGCCTTTGCTGACTATATCCTCCTCAGAAAAAAACTGAAAGTCGCACTTTTTTTTCCAGTGCAAGCCTGACATGAATTTATGAGACAACTGACATTAAAAGAACAAAAAACATATGAGACATCCTGACATAAAAATCTATGAGACACTTGTAGGAACTGTATTTCAACAAGTGTCCTAAACTGTTCTTTTTTGACACCTTTTCACACCATTTCAGGACACTTGATAGGACACCTCATTTTTCAACATAAAACCCAAAAACATTTAAAGAAATACCTACTATATTGATCTATATTATATAAGATATAGCATTATGCCCTTTATGGTCATTGATGGACATAACATGAAGATTGATAACAACACGTTTGACGCAATGAACCAGTTTATACAAGATGACATCCAAACCTCATCGGAAGAAGAATCAAGGAGGCAAGACCCCGATTACTTCAAAAAGTATTATCTAAACAAACTCAAAACGCCTTTCACCTGTCCAGACTGTGGGACAACCATATCAAACAATACAAATTTATCAAAACACAAGAACACCAAAAAGTGCAGAAACTCTCAAAACTTTTGTTGAAACATTGACCTCAAACCTCACTCCAAGTCCCCCCAACACTTAACCAGTAAAAAAAACTTGAAGAACTATTACCTCATTATAGCAAGAAAGAAAAACGGAGAAGGAAAGACAAACAACATTAGATCTTCTTTAAAAATATTCCGTTTTGTGTTTTTCAAATTCCACAGTGGTTTTGCTTAATGTACCACCTGTTCGACATGCGCCACCTGTTCGAACAGGTGGTACATTAAGCAAAACCACTGTTGACTTGAAAGTGACAATGTGAAACAAGTCCCAACGTAACTGTAAAAGAAAAAATGACCTATGTAGAAACTTGTGATTTTCATGATTCATAGAATTTTCAGTGCAAGCGTTTGCAACCTGATGTTTTTGCAGACGCGCTGTGAAATGATGATCTTCTGTGCAAACCATTACAAACAGAATACTTTGTAGATAGCAATTATCAGCGCAACCCTGCTATAATTACACTTTTCCTCTATGAGTACTACTTTTCCTCTACGAATACTACTTTTCCTTTACGAGCTTTTCACTGGAAAAAAAAACTCAAAATTTCTCAAAATTTCTCAAAATCTCTCAAAATCTCTCAAAATCTCTCAAAATCTCAGGCATGGGAACCATTGTAATTTAGAAGTAGTATTGCTGACTGGAATGAAAATTTCTCAAAATTTCTCAAAATTTCTCAAAATCTCTCAAAATCTCTCAAAATCTCTCAAAATCTTTCAAAATCTCTCAAAATCTCTAAAAATCGCTCAAAAAAATCTGAAAAAAATCAAATCATCAGTAAAAAGTAAAAACCATATATTCAAATGGTTTGCGCTGATAATTGCTATCTACAAAGTATTCTGCTTGTAATGGCTTGCACAAAAGATGTGAAAAGATCCACCTCTGATGCCAGCAGGCCCACCGCTGATGCCATCAGCAGGCCCCCATGCACAGCAGCCCAAGCACCACGGCTGATGCCAGCAGGCCCACCGCTGATGCCAGCAGGTACAAAATTATTTAAGTCTGGAAATGGATTATTTTTAAAGAAGATCTAATGTCCTTTGTCTTTCCTTCTCCATTTTTCTTTCTTGCTATAATGAGGTAATAGTTCTTCAAGTATTTTTTTACTGGTTAAGTGATGGGGGGACTTGGAGTGAGGTTTGAGGTCAACGTTTCAACAAAAGCTTTTAGAGTTTCTGCACTTTTTGGTGTTCCTGTGTTTTGATAAATTTGTATTGTTTGATATGGTTGTCCCACAGTCTGGACAGGTGAAAGGCGCTTTGAGTTTGTTTAGATAATACTTTTTGAAGTAATCGGGGTCTAAAGTTGTGATATCATAAGTGCCATCATCTCTAGATCTTGATTGCCTCCTTGGTTCTTCTTCCGATGAGGTTTGGATGTCATCTTGTATAAACTGGTTCATTGCGTCAAACGTGTTGTTATCAATCTTCATGTTATGTCCATCAATGACCATAAAGGGCATAATGCTATATCTTATTTAATAAAGTAGGTATTTCGTTTTTGGGTTTTATGTTGAAAAATGAGGTGTCCTATCAAGTGTCCTGAAATGGTGTGAAAAGGTGTCAAAAAAGAACAGTTTAGGACACTTGTTGAAATACAGTTCCTACAAGTGTCTCATAGATGTTTATGTCAGGATGTCTCATATGTTTTTCTTTTTCTGTCAGTTGTCTTATAAATTTATGTCAGGTTTGCACTGAAAAAAAGGTGCGACTTTCACTTGTTTCTGAGGAGGATATAGTAAGCAAAGACAAATGTTGAAAAGGATGTAATATGACAAGGCAAGGCTTGAAAAGGATATAGTCTGAAAAGACACCTCCTGAAAAGGAAATAGTCTGGAAAGACACATCCTGAAAAGGATCTATCTGAAAAAACAAATACTGAAATAAACATGGTCTGACTAGACAAATCCTGAAAAGGTTGCATGGTTTGAAGCAAGGACCAGGGTTGTACTTGTGTACTTGTGTGTATTTCTGACACATGTACTTGTGGGTATCTTTGATTTCTGGCAGTTGTCACAGAAATTGGACACATATTCTGACATTTGCCTTTGCCAGGAGGAACGTATTAATAAGAATATCTCAAAAAATCAATCAATCAATATATATATATATATTACTATTTTTTTAAAATTAGTTAATGCGTTGTTTTATATTTTATATATTACTATTTTTATATTACTGTTTTGTTTTACGTAAACCATCGTTTGGAATGCGTTGTCCTTGCGATATGCAAAACGTGAAGAGAGAAAAAAACATGTTTTTTTTCTGACAAAGTTTGTGGTACTCCATTGTGTTCCACCGTGATACTTGGCGTGCAATCTTTAAGAAAAATAAGGAAAAAAAAGGAAACACATGGAAAATTCAGGATTTCAAAAGGCAACAGCGTTGCAGTATCAACTCTATTTTTGTTTTATTTCTGTCTTCAATAACCCAAACCTACCTTATAGAGGACCCAGGGAACCAAGGTAGCACATTACGTTTGGTGACTAACATAGTTCTGGAAGGTCAACCGTTTTGATAGGTAGATCATCGACCTACGCGGGCTTTTTTGGCCATAGCAACGTGTTAGATAACCATAGGGCATGTCATGAATCTCCCTTGAAACCGTATGAAATCCCATTGCAGCGTACAAAAGCCATACTAAAACAGTATTCAGCACACTTCAGGTCCCCACATTAATCTGGTGTCTCATGCTAAAACTGTAAACACATTAAAAGCATACTAATCCCATTGGTGTCCCCACATTAGATCCCCACGGTTTCGCACCTCGAGGTGGTGGCGGCGTTGGCCTCACTGGCTTGCGCACCCTGCGCATCGTGCGGATCACCCGATTGGCCACTGGGACCCGGTGGAATGGGCCAACCATCCCCAGTCATGGTAGGTTTCTCGCGATTTTGGGGCAAGAGATGGGATTCATGTGGGTAAAACAATGCCAGAAACCATCCCCCAAATCACCGTAAATAGGTGGTATAAACCTTTCCCAAATGGGTGGTTTATTTTTGTTTTACCATCATTATGTATGATTTCGAGGGTTGTTGGTGAAATTACAATGTATCGATGAACCAGCCAGGAATCGCGTTTTGCGCGGGATGTTTTCATGGGGATTAATGATGTTTGAGCCAATCAGTTGATTGGGATATATGGGGATACAACGGGGATAATCATTGGGATAAAACCAAAACTATGAGTATGTATGTTTTTGTTCAAACATGGGGGATGGGCCCCGACTTTTTGTGAAACACTGTATGGGGATCATTATTTGGTGTACGTGTGCGAAACCACGTGCCACCTTTCAACAAACCAATCAATAGACGAGTTTTCGCCGCATTTGGGTGCATATAGGCAGGGTTTAACTTTTCCCGCGTTTTGTCTTCCACCCGGGTTTGACTTAAACCAATTTTGTTTGATGGTAAGTTCAATGTTGGTTACCTTGCCGTGAGCTGAGTTTCACTGTAATGTTTCCTTCGGCACCACGGGCTTCAAAACAATCCGCGGCATTGATGCTACTTTCGCCTATAGTGCGCCGCTCCGCGATACGACTTTTGACGAGGCGGTACATTTTCTCAACGTATACTTATAGTATGTTTACAAAGGGCCGACTCCGCAAGGGCACACCGTTTCGCACCGAGCCCCTCGAAGTTCTTTTCCCACAGGCACAGAGTCATTCTAAGAAAATCACAGCGATTTGAGCACTTGGGAGTAGCCGGATTGTTACGCATTGGGCCGGGATGGCTGTTGACTTGGCAAGCATTAGATGGAAATGAAAGGTATGTTAGCTAGCAACATGGCAACTATCAAAACACGAAGTTTGCACGCACAACTTCTATACTTTTTTGTCGTGAGATGCCGCCAAGTTTGTTCAGGCATCCCACCACCCTTTACAGGAGGTCTTACAAATGTGCCAAGGCTTCGCCTGGCATTCCCCCCAGGTAAAGAAAATCAATGCGGCAGCTTCTTTTGGACAGCCTGCGTTGCAGCGACGTGCATGAACACAAGGGCGGGTGAAAAGAAAAAACCCAGCTCTCCAGCATACTTCAGCTGGATCAGCTCTCACCTCTGTAGAGCACCTATCTATCGGCTGGACCAGCTCTGGTAGTGCGAGTCGGACCAGCCGTAGTTCCATGGGCTTCGGTGCTCCTGCCAAGAATCCTCACGCCAGCTGTGCCATTGAGTCGGTGGCGCTTGTGGTGTAGCTTGGCCCCATTTTCTCCAGGAATCATCGTCCCAGCTCTGCTGATCCGGTGGAGTGGATGGAGCAGCTTTCTCAGGAGTCGTGGGTTGAGCGCATCCTTGTCCTGGGAAGTTCCGACTTCCGGCGGATCGCCGCTCTATTTTTTCTTGCCAGCCACTTCTCCCGTCTACGGCGAGACTTCTTCTCATCTCTCTCTTTCAAGAACCCAGGCTTCAGAGTCTGGCCCCTGCTCTGACTGCCAGGATTTGGGGAGATCTTCCAGCGAAACGCTGGGCATCCTTGACAGATGTCTTGGTGCCTTGCCGCCCGCTCCCTCTGTTTGTGGAGGTAGCGGGCTTCCGCCACTGAAAACCCAGCAGCCAAATCCGCTTCATACTTGCCCTCATGTGATTTGACGTCCCGAACCTCCAAACCTGGCGGGGCGCCCGGAGCCTTTCGCAGCGTTGTTTCCAGGCATTGTCCTGAGCTGCTGTTTGAGTAAAACTGGGCTGCGCCATAAATATCAACAATTATGAATAAACAGGGACAAACATATGAATAGACAACATGATATCATATCACACACACGCACAAACATCTATCTATATACAAATTTATCTCTCTATCTAACCTGATCTAATCAAATCGTTTTTCATCAAATCTAATTAATCGGCATATATCCATATCTATATAGATCTATATCTGCATTTGCATGCATGCATATATATATATGTATCTATATGTATATCTATATCTTTATTCACATGTATATCTATGTTTTAGATTCTAATGTATATTGATATCAGTATCCCCGTTCTATCCAACAAAAAAATCTCCGTGCAAAAAGGGCTCCCTTCAGGTGAAACTTGCGCGGGTGGCGCGTATCTTACGCTTCGTCATGGCGCTTCGGACGTTGACTCAGTCCATCATCTATACCCTGTGGCTTGGATGGTTTGGATTAATATCTGCCTGAATATATATATACATACACATTTGAATTTCAATATCAATATATCTATGTAGCTATATTTGTATATGTGTGTGTGTGTATGGAACGGGCCAGAATTACTATTTGCTTTCCCAAATTGCAGAGTTTTATGCCAAGGAAGACAGATGTGTGGGTGCATTGGTAAATTGGCACCCTTGTTTTGATTTAGCCCTGTTTCCATATATCATATTATGTGGTAAACCCAACCATAAACCATACCTAGTCTTATCTGTTGGGGGTGAGTACAAATGGCTCATTAACACCAAATTTTACCTTTGGGTTAGTTATTTGTTTTGTAGTTGGAATTCCATGTATTTTCCCGTGTTGTCCACGGAATTCTTAGTAGCTGCCCGTGGCTTGGTCCCCCTTCCCCGTGAAGCTTGTGCGGTTTATGGGATGGGATTGGGGGAGAGATAGCCATAGATGGTCACTATCCCAGTGTGGCACAGAACCCAGCTTCAAAAATCTATAGCTTCTGCTGCGCACCCGAAGCCTTTACTAGTTGGTGGGGCCCAAACTTTTCAAAGTAAATGCCAGAAGGATCGATGGGAATAAAACGAAGAAAACCCTGTGAAGCATCCCTTTCACTCACCAAGTGAAGATGAATTTAATGGGTTAGTCTGGGGGGACCGTAATTTCCGCGATGAAACAGGCATAATTGAGGGCAAATCCCACAGTTTTGGACACACCTTGGCTGGTTGCTTTCACCCTAGTAAGCGGCCCATGATTTGGAAGGGTTTATGGTCAGCGGTGTGCAAGGAAATCCCTTATTTGGGTTGCTTGGTTGCAACTGAGCGAGCTGGCTGTCCCAGAATTGGGTTTCAGGGAGTTTGATTCCATCTGGGGGGACTCAGAGCCAGTCCAAGGTGGTAAGATGTGACTGGGAACGCGCGCAAAGACAAGTGTGATGGATTCCCAAGTGTTACACGGAAACGGTTTGTGAAGAGGGTGACCAGTCGGTCTTTTATGGCAGCTCTCTCATCATGCCACATTGGGTCCGACAGCTTTGCAGCGGGCCAGTACCGGGTGGATGGACCAGCAATTCTTTTTTGCGGTTTCGAGCACGTTCAAATGAAACATTTGCAGAAATTGCACACTTCAGATGCCTAGAATAGGGGGACCGCAAAACGACTTGCAAGATGCTTGAAACGGTTGGTTCGAGGCTAAGTCTTGGTGTTCAAATACCATGACCAGCTAGGTGGGTCACACGTTGATACTGTTGATCTTTGAGTTGCCAGCATTGGCCAGCCATGACCCCGCCCGCCTTGCACGATGTGTCTCCTAACGGCTTGCGGGCCCATGTGGAGCAACTTCACCAAAAGCGGGTGATGCTTCAGGAGTTTGCACAACATGTGGCGTTGAGCTGAAAATTTGGTAAGAAAGACACCATGGGCAAACTATTTGCCAAGCCCAATGGGGGCATCATTAAGATATATTAATTAAGGTAATATACTAGCACCCATCTCATGTATATATATATATATATTATATACATAATTATATCATATATAAGTATCATATATGTATATCATAAATATATATATATATATTATACTGTATATACCATATATATATATATACACCATATAATATATATATGATATATTTATGCCATATGTATATGATATATATGATATATATTTTGTCATATATATCACATACCGTAGATATCATATACATCATATATATATATATCATATATATCATACACACCCTATATACCGTATATAGCATACATATTCTTTATATTTTATCAAATTATATATCTCACATATTTATAGATATATGTCACATATATATATATATATCATATATCACATATATATATCATATATATGTATGTATGCAATGCAAATACAATGCAATGCAAGGCAAGGCAAGGCAATGTAATGCAATGTAATGTAGTGTATGTAATGCAATGTAATGCAATGCAAAAGAATGCAATGCAATGCAATGTAATGTAACGGACAGGAAAGTAAAATAATGTATGTAATGCAATGCAATGCAACGTAACGTAACGCAATGTACTGTAAATGTAAGTGCTAACCCCCCTGAAACCTACCGGTTTTGTTTATTTTTTGTGTTTTACAGTGTTGTTTGTTTGTTTTTGCCTTCAAAAACAACCAGCATTCTTCATTCATTTGAAGACTTTGGATGCTTGAGTGTGATGAGTTATGATGCTTCATGTGTAGATACAATGACAATTTTGATGGTATTTGCAGCCTTTTCGACTACCGTATTGGGTTCCCAACAAGGACTTTCAATTCAAACATTGACAGAATGCGCTAGGCGCTGTGGCCAAATGTCAATTTTAAGCTTTAAATTTGTTTTTACAATGTTTTTTTCCCCTTGTTGTGCTACATGAATTTTGGATTTGTACACCTTCAGATCTTGCAGACATATTATTTGATGATCAGTATGTTAGATATGTAGGCATGGTTTGGTGCCTACGCCTTGGTTGACTTCACTAGCTTGATATACAATACGCAATGAGAGTCTATCGCTTTCTAGATATGTCTTTGGTTTTTTTCCCTTACTGTGTAGCTTCTGTCTCTTGTTGTGCTACTGCTTTGGATGTGTGGGTCTTAGGAGGTCCTAGGACTCCTAGGACCCCTTAGTTCTTACCCCTTCCAAACTATGTTTTAAGTATAGTTTACGTACCTCCTAGTACCTCCACCTCTCTGCAAAGTTTCCCTTAAGTAGTGATTCAACCCACATGAAAAGCATCATTCAACTTTGGGTCTTTTCCCCAAACCTGAAAACGGCATCTTTCAAAAAAGTCCCTGCAACATACAAGGCATCTTTCAATCAAATGCAGTATCCCTTCAAAAAAATAACAGCAATGTAGCCACTACTTTGAAGAACATACATGTTTTTCTCTAAGTGACACTATATTTGTTGAAAAACAAGTTGGATGTTTAAAGAACATGCTGCACACGTGGCATAAGTACTGCTACAGTGTGCCCTCTAGAGTTAGTATGCACTCATTTTTAGACAGTAATTGTGTATACTTGGATTGAACAAATGTGAGCTGTTTTTGCTTAAACAAAAAACTCGCAAATGCTACCCCTGTGAGATTGACAGTGCCCCTTCTGAAGAAAAGTGACTTGAAAGGGCACAGAATTACTTCAATAAGAAAGCTCTTTTATTCTATGCAGTATTCACTGGAAACAATACTATATATATATATCGAAAAGAGTTGTAGTGTAGCATTACTTTTTTGCAATGTTCCATTGACAAGAGTGATACATTGCTCAAACATGGTGGGGCATTCCTTCAAGAACACGCAATATTGCTTTGGCACAGCTTGTTCATTGATTTTTCAGGCTTGGGGAAAAGACCCAAAAGTTAATTTTTTTCATGGTAATTAAACCAATCCCACCTACTTAAAGGAAACCCAAAATGGATGCATTTCCAGAGGAATGCGTTCAGAACGCATTCTTCCCCCAATCTAAGATCTTAGATCTAAGATTTGCTCAGGAGTCCTGAGGGAAGCTTAGATCCAAATCTAAGATCTAAGATCTAAGGTTTGCTCAGGATTCTTGGGGGGAACCTTAGACCTTAGATCTTAGATAGCAGGGAATGCATTCTGAATGCATTCTTCCCAGAATGCTATCATTGAAGTTAAGTTAAATCAACCAAAATTACTTACTACACTACTATACATACATATATAGTAGCCCCTCTTGAAACTATTGCCAACATTTCCTCAAAATAGGCCTGTATGTAAGGTAACCCCCTTTTGACCCAACCATGTGATGAATATGTAAAACAGGTAGGTTTCAGGGGCGGGGGTACCATGTAAATGTAGATGTACATATACAAGTAGATGTGCATGTAAATATGCATGTAAATGTAATGCAATGCAATATAATGTAATGTAATGTATGTATGCATATCACGCGCACACACACACACACGTATATGTGTATATATCTAATATTTATAATGTTTATAATATTTATATGTATATATTTCAACTCCCAACTCCCGCCGGGGACCGCAGGAGAGGATATTGACATCAAGCATTGCAGCTTGTGGCAGGGCAAATCTTTGGGAGGCGATTTTGGGGATGAGGAACTTCACTTAATGGGATTTTAATGGGTATTAAAGGGAGTTTAATCAAATTTTAATGGGATTCTAATAGGATTTCAATGGAATTTAATGGGATCATTTTTTGCATTTTTTAAATCTAGCTAAATATGGCTAACTGTGTGGAACTGTGGAAACAAGCATCTTCCCTGATTGAATAACCATACTTTGCTGCATGCTTGAAGCAGCATTCTGTTGGGTCCAATCACCACTGCCGTCGTTTGTTTGTGTAGCTGGGACAAAATGTCCTGTCATAGGGCTGGGTTTGAAGAGGAACAGTAGGGACATCCTTGGCATAAGAGCAATTGCCATGAACAATATTCAATCTCCAACAGCAAGGGGACTCCATGATTATGAATTAAACACTAGCTTTTTGGGATTCGGGATGCGAAGCAAAATTTGTTGAAACTGATACACCGTTCCCCTCATCACTTCTGATCTGTTCCTGAAGGGCGTAGCCGTCGGATAGTCTTACCTGGTCGTCATTTTCAATAGGGCACCAATATGATCCAATATAAAGACCAAAACAAGGGCTTTTTCATTGCCAGCTTTGATCAATTCCAGGGTGTCCCAAAACTTGACAATGCTTGACATATTTTCCTGTCCTCCATGATGTGTTGCTGCTAATATACCTGTTTAATGGTGTTTAATGCTGGTTTCATCGTATAAAGTCCATAAATTCCCAATTTCTTGACCTATACATACCATCACGCTGTACTCTCCGTTTGAGAGGACGCACTGTGTATCTTGGACCTCATCATCTCCAGCTGTGCACTTGCGGATCCCTTCACCTTTTGTGCCGCCATCAGTGCTGGTGAGATGCTCGGTGCAGGAGCGATGAAGGAATTTCCACATGTTGGCTGGGCTGGTGGCTTGGGGGCCCATTTTAGATCCCAGAAACTTCTAAGAGGGAATCGCCACCACAGGGAATCACCACCACCCGGAATCGCCACCACAGGGAATCATCACCAAAGGGAATCGCCACCACAAAGAATCTTGAGCATCATCAGCATCATCGGCATCATCAGCATCATCGGCATCATCGGCATCATCGGCATCATCGGCATCATCGGCATCATCGGCATCATCATCATCATCATCATCATCATCATCATCACCAGATTCTGCAGGATTCCGATCGGCCACTTGAGGATCATGCCCAAATAATGTGGGAGTAGCTGTCAACCAGCTAAATCAATCCACCCCAGTCTGCCAAAATTTTCTCCCATTCCAAGGAAAAGCTCCCACTGGCAGCTTGCGACGTTGCTCCTTAACGACATGCGGAACAGCTTTGTGTCTGCAGACGTGGCCGCTTTCAATGCGGCCATCAGCGCATGTGAAACCGGTCTCTAAGTTCATTGTTTTTTATTCTCGCTAATTGTTATTACTATTATTGTTATTATATATTCTTATTACTACTACGACGACGACGACCACGACGACGACTGCTACTACTACTACAACTACAACAACAACAACAACTACTACTATTACTACTACTACTACTACTACTTCTACTACTAGTACTACTAGTACCACCACTACTACTACTACTACTACTACTTACTACTACTTACTACTACTTACTACTACTTACTACTACTACTACTAACTACTACTACTACTACTAACTACTACTACTACTACTACTTACTACTACTTACTACTACTTACTACTACTAC